TTTGGTTAACTTTTTATTTTTACTCAAAAAAAAAAAGAAAAAGAAAAAGGTGTGTTTTAGGATTTTTAGGCTCTATTGGACAGGAAAGTTGGAGACTGAGTGTAATGGGAATGTCACCCAGGAAATGGTCTGGGATGGCCCCTGCAGAAGTGATTTAAAGGTCTCCTGTGCAAACAGGTGGGCCACAGTGGCAGCAGTCAAAATATTTTTACTGGAATAATTCGGCATAAACAGATCAGCCTTCACAGAACTGTCATGAAACAGAAAAGTTTTAGATACAGTGTGGAGCAATAAGACAGGAATACCAAAAAGTACCTGTGACAGAAATTCCCAGTGGTTTTCTTTCTTTTGTCCAGGATGGTGGCTCCATCTTCTGACTGCTTAGAATCTATTTCTAACTTAATTATAAACAGATTCATATATATATCTATAGATATATATATATTCGTATGGGCAGAGCTGTAGTTATCACGCTAGTATTTCTCTGCATGGATACCCTGGAGGAAGCTGGTGCCCTTTGAAAGCTCCAGTTTCCCTTTTTGAAGTAATATCACTTAAGTTATTGTCTGCCCATTTCAGCCAGATGACTTTTAATTATCACGGGCATTCATCCAATCATTGATAATATTGCATGTGTTTTATGTAGTCAACCACAGTGTCTCAGAGTAAACCGCAGTTTGACACTAAACCCTGTGAGAAAATCCACCTATCATCAGATTGATGATTCTCTTTTCCCTCCTTTAATTGTAGCTTCTGCTTGAGAGTACATCCATCATACAGGATGTGTTTCGCTGTTCTTTTTTTTTTTTTTTTCACTGTGATCTATCTCATCCTCCTGTGCAGAGGGTGGAGTGGGGCCGTGGGCTCATTTACAGGCATCAGTAGTGAGTGATTTGGGTGCAGCACCACTGCAGCCTTGACTGCCATCAAATGAAGGGGGAGATTTTTATTTTTTTTTACCACAACACCGGCGGTGCCAACGGTTCAATCAGCACTACAAGATACACTGAGACACATTTGGGCAGCTCACCCTGCAACCATGGTAACAGAAGAATTTTACTAGTTGGCAGCAGCCAATAGTGGGGCACTTCCCACTCAGTTCTGTCCAATAACAGAGCAGCCTGCAGCCCAGCCCACCTAGAACTAACACTGATGGGCTAGTGCAGTGACGATTTAGAGATGTAGGCTTGGTTAATGAACAAGTACAAGAGTAAGAGTGTGTGTGTGTGTGTGTGTGTGTGTGTGTGTGTGTGTGTGTGTGTGTGTGTGTGTGTGTGTGTGAGACTGAATGAGGCTGTGCTATAATCTGATGAGAGGATTCCCTCTCGTTTAACCTCGACACATTGTAGAGTAGTACTCATTCACCGAGACCATCTGACATTCAGCACCAACAGTGCAGCAAGTCCCCTGTCATCGCACTCCCCTCACACGTTACGTGCACATGCATGCTGCACACACACTCACACACACCCACCCACGAAGCACCTGCCTCTCATCACAAAATCAGACAGATCAGAAAATCGAATGCGATACGGTCTTAACCAGAAAGAAGCAAATGATCCCATCAACTGTCAATAAAGTCATTTATTATTTCACACAATGGATAACATGAACAACTTGAACTGTAGTTCTTCGTAATAAGTGCTCAACGCTGCCAGCCAACAGAAGGGTAGCAAAAGAATGAGCCTTTCTTTTTGAGGAAAGAGAAATAATAATAAAAAAAAAAGAAACCTACAAGATCATGAAAGATAAACATGACCAAAAGCATGCCAGCAGACATGGATATACATATATATTACAGGTATATATGTGCTTAAGACACATATCTGTATGCCAGCAAATGCAAATACAAAATATATGTGTACATTTTACACATACATACTGTGAAGGATATATGCATATGCATGCGCCTCTAGTATTTACTCTATATGTCAAATATTTGCAGTTTTTAATATTCATACAATGTACAAAAATGTTTCATGAATTAAAAAATTCATTACAAAAAGAAACATATCAAACAATGTACAAGTCTTCCTTCAAATTCAATTGAAATTCAACTTTCGGCTTGTCTAAAATATTTATGCATACAATCAAGTTGAGCATGCAAATAAAGGAAACCCACTCTAGAAAAAGGCTCAAATACACTATGTATACAAACTAAAATATGCCCACACTGTTAGAAGAGCTCACTTTGTGCTCTAAAGAAGTACATTTATTGGTTTTCTCAATGCTTCATCTGCACTTTCAGCTTCAAACATTATAGCTTAGAAATGGTAACGTATGCTGTGAGGATGACTACATGTACATTTATGAGGCTCTGTTCCACACGACCCCCTTGCTCCATGTGTAGGATGCACATCAAAGCACGCTACATATTGAACGAGGGGCGAAATCAAAACTTAGGTGCCATTATCTCTCATCCTAGTTGCTGTGTTGAAGTGGTAAATGCACACTACAGGAAATACACCCCACACCGCTAACGTAAGGTCAAACACTGCTGCGCCGCCCTTGGTGCTGAAGCCAAAGACGAGGTAAGGGATCCTTACATCAGTGTTTAGGGGCCTCCGGTAGCCACCGGTCCAGATTGGCTGCTAAGTACATCACAACAACAGTGACCTTGAACCCTATACATAACCACATCCCCTCTGCGGTCTCTGTGTAGAGTGAAAGCTCTGGATTAGGACAATACTTGTCAGTGTTAGAAGGCACCGAAGCATTGGCTGGTAGGAGAGACAGACAGGACAGACAACACCTGGGGTCTTTAACTCTAGCATCAGAGACCGCTGACTGACCACAGTATGAAGGAGTAAGCTGCCAAGTGTGTATCCTCTACACCTCATCGCCTCACATTTCTAGACCCCATCTTTGCCACAACAGACTGCAGACCCACCTAGCAAAGCAAGGTTACGCACACTAACATCAGGGCGAGTGTATTTTTGGCTATTTCCTCTGAGAGCTCCCCGAACAAAACAACCCTCTTACTTACTCACTGCTACGGCGCTGCCCAAGCTGGCCGCAGGCAAAGTAGCTACAAGTCAGCCGGGATTTCCTATTTTTGGTCGAGTGCACGACGTTGGGGCTTCTATCCTCAACTTTTAAAAAGCGCGGTAAGGCAAATCGTTTTAGCATTCGGTGTAATTTAGCCGGCCGGAGCCATGACTGTCAATAGGCAGTGGAATTTGTCAAATATTAAAATCACTTGAAGTTGTCATTTTTCTGAATAGTTCCTTGGGTCTTGAGCAGCCTTGATAGAGAGATAAGGTCTACTGTGGTTTGAGGAGACAGTCCCAGCATAGCTGAGCCTAACTGGTATCCATGCAGGATGGACATACTAACACTATTTACAACAGACACATTAATACTGTAGTTTTACATCTGGTTAAGGCTGTACTGCATAGAGCTGCAGTCACTATAGTTTTCATGAGATGATAGTCACTTTCTGCACAACTTATTACAAATTATTACTGGTATTATTCACAATTCTTGATACATGAATTCAATTTATTGAGTAAATAAGACCACTTATTTCTCTTTGTCGAAGGGTGGACCCAGAACAGAAATTCCTTTTAAGGTCACTGCCAGGCATGGCCTGATGCATAGCAAACAACAATGTACGAGAACGTGATTTCCATAAAAATCTCGGCTGTTCCTCCTTTGCCAAGTATATAATCAGTTATATCTCTCATTATTTACTGGGCAGAGTAAGTGGTGTTTAATTATATATCTAAGACTCTGGGTACAATCAATATCACTGGATGGAGACACATCTGATACACTGTCCACCTCCACTGCTATAGCAGTATGTAGGTAGGTATATGATGCGGATTTAAAACAGTAATATAATAGCTCCTTCAGTCCAGCCCTTCTACCTCTGTTATGATGATATGACTCAGAAAATAAACCAGGAGGAAGCTGGGAGACACCAGACAGCAGTGTCCAGCGACAGAAGATGCTAACTATGGAAGTTGTGAAGGGACGCCGGCAGTTTCGGGGTTCTCGTGAATAAGACACACGTGTCATTTGCACAATCATGAACATTTTGGGTCGTTGTCTGGGGCACTCCTTGCCGCTTCATATTCCTCAGGTCAAATGGTAATTTGTGAGAGAAAGAAACATAAGGCACAAGTCGAACTGCTGCAACTGAGAATCCCACCCCCGGCCGAACAAAACAGAATCTCCTGAAACAAAATTTCAACAAGGTTGCCAAAGAAACACTGATCCATTGCTTATTATTCAGAAACACCTAATCAAGAAAATACCAACCACTACCCAAAGCCACAGATACTGTCGATAGAGTTTAACAAAGGTTTAACATATTGACACACGCAAAAAAAAAAAGAAAATCCAAGATGGCTACATTCTACAGTGCACATAGGAATGCTTTACATTGGTGCCAACATGGTGGAGAGTTTGTCAAACTCTGATTTAGATACTTTTAAATTATACACTGAATACTGAGACTTTGGTTTCTAAATCTAAATACTGGATTTACTTTCCAAAAATATTTTTCCAAGGATATGGATTGAAAATTATGTTAAGTAGAAAGACTGGGATTAGCTTTTTCAAAACACTGACTGTGTGAGCCCTCTTCTGCTGAACTGTCCAATTCAGACTCGGCGGGCTTCGGTTTGACGCTTTTGGCTGCGCAGCCTGCATATACAATTTGATTAAAATAATGTATGGTCTCTGGACTGGATAACCACACCGTCGAATGCCGAAACATAAGGCTGGAACAAGCATGTAAGTGCTGCATTTGATTGATGAAAGTGTATGTCTTTTTTTTGTTGTTGTCTTTTTTTAATAGTGCATTTAACCAATTTTTTAAGGTTTACCAAAAATACACCTGATATTCCTCCTGTATGCAATGCCCCCTGTTTATAAACACAATAATGAGTGTATGAATGAATACATGTGGTTCTTGTCTGTCTGAAAACAAGCTTGTCTTGAGTCACACCCATGTCTGTTTTTTTGGTTATAAAACAATACACACTTTCATTGTCTATGGTACAACAATTCTATTTAATATACTGTGTGCCAGTACACATCTATGAGCTGGTTTTCCCATTGTACAAGGCAGGCAACAGTGGACTTTGTTTCTATGTACAGTCTGGGACAGTCTAACCCACCATATTGCCTTTATGTCACTGCCCAGGAGAGAGGCCTGAGCAGGGAGAGAGGGAAAAAAATGACACAGCGGGTAGGTTGAGGGAGCTCAAGAAATGGAGATGTAAAACATTAGTGGGAATAGGTGAGAGGACAAAGGGGGATGGATTTAAGCGGCAGGCACCAGGGAGGGCTAAAGAATTGGGGTGAGCGTCAAGCAGGGAGGGGGACCACGAGTGCGGAGCTGCCAGGAAGTATCAGTTACTTCTCAAAGGGAGCGAGGACACTAGGAAGGTATAGATGAATGGGAGCAAAACAGGGAAAGTAATAGGGTAAGGTGGCTTAATTACTGAAGTTATTATTCCACATGTTTTTGACAAGCTTCCTCAGAAAGGCAAAAATAAGCAGAGCTGCACAGTTTTATATTAACCATTCCCCCCTCCCCTTGCTGGTAAATATATGGCTGAAGCCACATTCAGATACAGTATCATAAAGTACCATACACATCACTGTATCAGATACATAAAGAGTCACATAATATCCTACACTATCATAAGTACCACACAGTTTTAGAGCATCAGATTCAGTATCAAATAGTACCATATAGTGCCATTGTAAATAAAGGTCCAATGAATCTTTGAAAGGCCCATGTCTGGTTGGGTGTAGCAAACTGAGGGATGGCACAGGCCAGTGTTCTCTCCTCTTGCTCCACCAACCCACTGTATTCCTCACGACAAATCAGAGAGGAGGAACAAGTCAAAGTGCACCAAGGAGTCCCAAGATTAAGGGCACTGCATCTGATAGGCTTGAAACACTGCCTCCGTTAACTGCTCTCCAGTTCTGCTGGAGGTGCTTTCTCCTGCGAGTCTAGTGACTGGAGGGAGCCCACAGTTCGTCCCTGCTGAGGCCCCTTCCTTTGCGTTTCCCCCCTTTGGCCAGCGGATTCACAGACCGCGCTTGATGCACCACAGTCTCAATAGTTGCTGAGATGGAATCGTGACTGGAGAACTCCAGAGGCTCGGGGGTCAGGCTCGGCCTGAGGCTGTGTCTGCCTGGCAGGTTATCGCACCTCTCCAGAACAGGCATCCCCAGAGTCCTCTCATCACTTCTCCTGCTAGCCAGCATGTCCAAGCCTCGAACCTCAGCCCAATCTTCCTTCCTCGTCTTGGTTGGCTCCGGTTCCTCCAGAGGTTGTTTTCTGGGTCGTCCGGGTCGTCTTTTGATGACATTGTTTCCTGTTTTGGCTTGTCGCTGCAGGCGCTTGGCACGAAGGATCTTCTGCACATGCTCAAAGTTCAGAGAATGCATCCTCCTTACGTCCTTCTGGATCTGTTCCACTTCGCGACGTTTATACCTCCGCTTACTGGGAACACCTGGAAGAGGAGAGAGGGAGAAAGAATCAGGTGAGAAATGTCAAGGAAAATAAAGAGCAAAGTAAGGTCTATAAAAAGAAAGGACCATTTGTGCTTGCGTGTCAGTTAAAAAGAGCAGTCTTGGAAAGACTAGGAAAGACATCATGCCAATTTAGCTCATGGAGAGAAAGTCTTTTCTTGCTTTAAGAGCTTCCTGCTAATTTTGAGATATTCATGTAAGCTTTTCAAATCCCAGCTGAGCCAGGAGAGCAGATCCTATCCTGTAATTGTCTACTAGAGAGCAGAGAGAAGAGGGGAGAGGAGGAGATCCTATTCTGCTAGCAGGAAATGTCTCCTTCAACCATTTAATATGTCGCTACACAATAACAACCCTGTGCATCTGGAGCACAGACTGCCAAAAAGCTAAACACACACAGCAACACAAACACACATATCGGCACTCTTGTCCACATGCACATGCACATACAGACACAGATACAAAACCACACAGATGCATACATACACATGCACAAAAAATGAATTCAGCAGTTCAGAATGGCTGAGCAGAAGAAACTGGAGCCATATTGTTTCCGTCACACTGGTGAACTGGGCAGTATGCCCTTTACACATTGCTCTATCCTTACTCTTTCCCCGTCACTCACATTCTCTCTTCCACTCGTCTCTTCATGGGCGGCAATATGCTACTCTCTAATTTTCAATTAAACTGGTAACACTGCACCATTTCATTTCCATCTTTATTTCAGAGACCGCTTCCTGATCTTAGTCTGTCTCTGTCATTCTTTTTGTTTCCCATCTATGTCCCATTTCTTCGCTTCCCCCTCCTCCCTGTCTGGGCACTGTTCCCGGGGCTCGGACTGAGCCACAGCCAAAATGGAGGAAAAGCACAATCAACCACCAGTCCCCAAGCAGTGTGCACGCAACATGCTTCGTCTCTTTTCCTTGAGCCTTTTACTCCTATTGCTGGATTCCTGCGCTCTAGCCTTTCTTCCTTTCCCGCAGACTCCTGCTGATATGGTGTAGCAGGTTTCTTCAGTGCTCTAACATTTGATGAGTACATTAAATCAAAGATGCTTTTTCAGTTTTATACTTTAAATATTGTTGGCTGTGTTACAGGAAAATGTGTGAAAAATGATGCTCAAGACATTTAGAATATGTCTCTTTCATAAAACATAAGGGGGAAGCATTTAATATTTAATAGATTTTTTTAAAGATTTGCACAACGTCAGTGAACTGCCACAACTAGCAGAATACAATATTTTTTCATCCTAAAGAGACCAAATGGTAATGATGGGGATGAAAATTTGAAAAGCACCGCACAGAGCTGTTTGCTAATGAATTAAGAGTAAGGGAAAGATAAAAAGCCGCCTAACTACCTCCCATACAAACCGCAGAAGAATATCACGCTGTTGTTGGTCAAAAATTCGGGCCTGACAGTGAAATTAGTTAATGCACAAAGCACTAAGTAGCAGTGGTTTATGAGCTGCAGCAGAAGTGAGCACATGCTCAGTTCACACACACACACACACTACAAAGTAGCAGAAATTTATGAGCTCCATACACGGAACATAAAACCAGTGACCTTCAGCAGTGTGAGAGGCAGTATAGTACCAAGAACCTGTTTCTCTGTGAAATAAGAAGTCACAGCTATGCTCACTTATCCACTGCCTGTGCTGTAGCTGAGAGCACTTTTCGGAGACAGATTAAAATAATCCTTGATGTATGTCATTTAGTGTAATTTTTTTTTTTCTGGATGAAGGTCTGTGCATGTGTTTAAACAAGCTGCGTGACTTGCCGGACTACCGCAGGTCCAGTCACTTCTCTATCCTGGCAGTGGGTGCCTCTTTCCAGATGTTTTGGATCTTAATCTATATCCTCGTCTTCTCCTCTTGCACTCTCGACCCCCTAACCGAAAGCTGCTTGATGTCCTCCCAAATCTACGCTTCTCTATTATCTATTATTTCTGTCATCCTGTCTGTTTACACTGGTAATTTACTATGTTGTTTTATGGCGTACACAGAGCATCTATCACATGTCCTATCTTATCTGGACCGGGGATCAGTCCAGATAAGTGTGTCATATGCTGTGCAGACTGCAAAGCCCCTTGAGGCAAATCTGTGATTTGTTATACTGGGCAAAATAAATACAACTTGGCTTGACTTGCCACAAAAAATTATTCCGAATTATTCATTAAAGACTTTCATTCAGACATTCACGCAAGAAAGTTACAACTGATTCAGCGAGGTCTGCTTAAGAAGCAAACGCACAACACACGCAGAGACACGCGTGTGCTTAATGATTTGTCCATGACCGACAAACTCATTGTTGCACGCTCAGATAATAGTATGAATTTTACATCTGGATGGGGACCCGTATATCTGTGTGTATGCGGGGGCCTGCGCCTGCATGTGCAGCGAGCATTCTCATGCACATGCGTCTGTGTTTTAATTGGACTAAAGCTGTGAAGTGAAGCAGTAAGTCATGCTAGAGGAGGAGTGTGTGTGTGTGTGGGGTGGGGGTGGGGGGTGGGGAGTAAAGAGAGTAATGGGAAAATGAGGGGGAGGGGAGACAAGGGAAAAAGCAAAAAGTGAAAGGGAAGAAGAAGAGAGCTAGAAGGGGGAGATGGAGAGAGAGATGAGGCAGAGGAACAAGGGGAAATCTGCGTGTGGATGTGGGAACCACGGGAGAGAGGCAGAGGGGGAAAGCAAGGGCAAGAACTGCAGAAGCAGCAAAAGGGAAGGGAAGGACACAGAGGGTAGAAGAGGTATAACAACACTAGAGGGATAATATGGATCGGTTGGGGGAGGAGGAGTCATTATGGGGGGAGGGGGGGGAGGGGTGTATATGAGTCATCCGTCCTGGATCCCCTGGGGTGGGGGGGTGTATTCTAACTGAGCCCCTGGCTTCTCCTCCCCGCCACTGGACTAGGCCCCAGTCATTAAACCCCTGGCTACCAGCCAGCTCTTTTAACACAGGCAAGGGCCTTTTACGGCGTGTCTGTAGAAAATAAATCATACTGTGTGAATAATATATCTCTGGCAAAAGCATTGGCAGGAGAGAGGGAAGGGAGGCAGGGTGGGGAGGTAGGAGAGATTGGTGAATTATAGTCGTCTCCATCCATGCATTACGTTCTCTTTATCCCCAGCCAGATGTGCTCAAAGACAGCAGAATACAGAATGTACCAAAATACACATTCATTGGGTGGTGAAAATTCGGTGCTACCCAGTCTCTTTGTCTGCTTTAAGCCCCGATAATGATGTGCATAAGCATATTTATAATAGGAATCACCTTGACATGCATTACTAAATCTACATTTAAAATGGGAAAACCCAGTTAACTGACTAAATGTGATAATCCAGCAAATAACTGAAGTCAATTAACACTCAGGGACAGAGTTTAATATTAGTGTATAACCTTTTTTTTTTTTTGGCAAACATGCTCTCATTTGGCTACATTAACAGTTCTGATCACATATAAGTGATTAGTAAAAGCATGTATGTGTCTCTTTCTTCCAGTTCCACGGGCTAGCATAGTATCATGTATCAAATATCATTCGTATGGTTTTTCTTTCATTAATAAATTCCGGCTTCCTACTTCTGTCTAACAGATAGGAACCTTGTTGTTTTATATAAGTAGTGATGTGATGCAATAAGGTCCACTGCTGGTAATGTCAGCTGCTTACACGCTGCCGATGCTTCAGATCATAAGCTTTCCACATGTGATCCATTCATGGGTTTATTTAGAGGTAAAGTAAGCCTGTGTCTGGACTCTTCACTCCCTCGCGCATTATATAGCGCATATAAACATTGGGAAATCACTAAGGAACAAGTGCAAACAGCTGTTCATACATTTTGGACATTACTTGGACGCACCGCTGTCTGTTCACATAAACACGTAACAGAACATGTGCACCACATTTAAGATAATGGACACAACAACGCTGCTGTTATTTTGTAAAGGACATATCTCTCTCACCACCAATCCAAAACGCAAATCTGTGCACATGTAACTTAACATAAAACATACTTCAGCTAAACATTATCCCCCCTTTACAAGCACAATGGGAACCGGAGCTCTAACTGTGCAATTATATGCTAATCTCCAGTATATTAATTGTAAATGAACATCAGTCATGCAGAGCAGTCAAATACATTAACATAACCATTTGCTTCAAAGTGGTGGCCGTGTTGATGTTATAGCGGGTGTGCAGATATTTAACAGGGTGAGCACATTTGTAGTTTAGACTGGAAAATGCAGCCCCTGGATGCTACTTTTAGGGGAGTCACATTATGGTTCTGTAGGCCCCGTACAGTGAATGATATTTACAGCTCAGATTTGGAACACTGGGTGAGCCTGTGTATAGCCATGAATGAACGGCTTGGATAAGCAAAGACAAGCAAACAACAGGAGTTACTGCGTTTTAGGCAAACCTCAAACCTCCAACACTTCATTAAAGAAAGCAATGTGCTTTATCATGCTGTCCCAGTGAACAGAAAACAACTGCTGCTGTTTTTATTATAAGTCCAACATGCAATGCAGTGCGCTTTCTCATAAATATAGCGTATTCTCTTACCAGTGAGGGAGGGACTGGGACACTTGTTCATCTGTTCTGGCTCCTGCCTCGTCGTTTGGAATGACATTAAGCCCTGATCTCCAAACACAGTGAGCCTCGTCCGCCTGCTCCTTCCGCCGCACTCGTCCTCTTGTGACCCCGAAAATAGGTCAGACGCTGACTCTGACCGCTGCGACTGGCTACTATAGCTGCCCATGAAGCTCTTTTTAGGCTGCCCAGTCTGAAGGGAATGGAACTGACTGTCAGCAAGAGAGTGTGATGACAGCTGGTCAGACTCAAAAATCCCTAAGCTGGATCCCAGGTTTGAAGAGCCTCTGCCATTGCTCCTCTGCTTGTCCAGAAGCTTTGAAGGACCCTGACTGGCCAAGTCTCTCCTCTCACTCAGCATGCTGAGGCGTGCATTGGTCTTAGCTCCGCTGAAAAGCCCTCCCAGGTCCTGCCGGTCTCGTGGTGAAAGAAGAGGTTCATCCTTGTGCTTATGTTTATGCTTGTGCTTCCTCTTGTGGAGACGAACCCCTGCAAGACCACCTGCGCTGCTGCTGCCCAGGGATCCCAAACCCTCTCCCCTTACAGATGGCCCCTGAAGTGGACCACTAGTGGTGCAAAGCTTGGCACCAGGCTGGATTTTTGAGTGTCCGCTGGAGTGGAAAGCCTTGGGAGGGGGTACAGCAGGTCTCATGAAGGGAGATGGGGGCGCCGGTCCTAGCGAGTGATGGGGCAGATAAAATGGGGGAGTAGGGGGAAAGTAGCCCAGACTCAGAGGAGGAGCGTAAGGCATCGCATACGGTGCTGCATAGTAATTTCCCCCTGCCAGCGGATAACCATATCCTTGAACAAAAGGCAGCTTTGATGTGATTGGCTCGCTGGCTTTGGCTGGACGACCGCGTCTCCTCTTAGCCTTCAGATCAGCACTCCTGCGGAGGTATGAACTGGAGTCACAAGGGTACGAGTCGTAGGTAATAGGGTAGTAATGGTGGAAGTTGAGGCGGAAAATGGAAGGATAGGGATGCTGGGGGTAGCAGGTGAATCGTCTGTGAGACACTCGTAACTGCTGGAGCTTTAACACGACCTACAGGGAGGAAGGAAAGAGGAAACATTTAGAAAAACAAACACCCTTTAGTGCACGCTTGTACATTAGAGCGGTTGTTAAAGGCTCACACGCAGGATTTGTTACAGTGTTTCTAACCTCGTCCAGTTCAGAGAGAAAATGAAGATGATCCCGACTCTGTAGGCACTTCCTCTTCCGCCGATGATGCTTTTGCTTCTTCTCCTGCTGCGACAGAAAGTTATCGACAGCCGTTACTTGGCGCTCGCAGCGTGTTCTGCCACCTCTGTTGGATGCTTCCAAAGCTGCTGCCTCCGCAGCCTCAAACCCACACAGATCAAATGAGTACCTGTATAAACACAACATAAATCACATTAAAACAGCAGGTAAATGAATGCGTGCCAATCTATTACATACAGAACAAAATGCCTATAAAGCAAGTAAAGGAGTATAACAGCAGTCTACTGCACCTTCGTCGAGAGGCATGACCCTTCTCAGTTTGATCTGAGGTACTGTTGTTGTCCGTCCCAATCCCACTGTCACTGGGAATAGTCTCCTCACTGTGGGACTCGCTGATGGGGGACAGAGTTACCTCCTTCACTGACGCCCCCTCTGACAGGTGGGATGGTGAATTAGCCAGAAGTCGAGGAGGAGACAATTTCCATCCCCCAGTGAGAAAGCTCCTGCCTGCTGGTTTAGAGGGCAAGGCTGAAATGGGCTGCAAACTGGGCATAGCAGCATCAGAGTGACTGGCTCTTATAGACGGAGCACTAGAGCTGGGAGATGAGGTGGAGGAAGGCACTGCGGGGCATTCGTAGAGACTCGATGTGGAGACAGACAATGCTGGCTTGTCCCGAGTGGTTTTGGGAGGAGTGGAGCCTTGAGTTTCTGCTCGAGGTTTCCGCCCTCTCTTCTTACCAATGTAGATGGTTCCTCTTTTGCTCACATTTATCTGTTTTCCCAGTCGAGCTTCAATGGTGGATGCCATGGCACTCATAGCTGAGGTAACAGGAGCAGAAGATGACTTCAGAGCCAGAGTGCCATTTTGACTTGATCCTGAAAGGATTTCATTCAGAATGCTCTGCATTTTCCCAAGCTTCGTCTTATTCACTGGCCTGGATTGCCCCCTTCCACGCTTTAGTTTGAGACTGTTGGCATTGGTCATCGTGGAGGCCATTTGCACTAAAGTGTTCAGTGTGTGCGTCTTCCTCCTACGATTTAGCCCTGCAGTGGTTTCCTGGGCCAATGGGCTTGGAGGTGAGGTGGAAGTGGCCTCGTGAATGGTCTCCACAGTTAGGAGTGGCTGTTTCTTGGGGCGTCCTCGTTTCCTCTTAATGGGAGTGTGGACTGTCAGGCTGTCAGTGTTGGTGTAGAGCGGGCTGGAAGGGGTAATGGGGAAAGCAGAGGGCGGGTCAGCTAAGGTTGCGAGGCTACCCAAGGTTTCTCTCTGCGGTGATGTAATGCTGGCATGGCTTTTTGATTTCAGGTAGGACCACCTGTCGTTGGCCTTGGTCGGTCTGGAACTGGCCGTAGAGCTGGTGCTGTGACTTGGGCTCGGACTCATATCGGCTCTTGATCTGGGGCTTGGACTGGGGCTGATGTTTGCCCTGGGTCTGGGGCTGGGGATAGGGCTGATGTTACTCCGGGGGCTGGGGCTGGGGTTTGGGCAGGGGAATCTAGGGTTCAAGCTGAGACTGGGTTTGCTGATGTGATTGTGAGCTGGATCTCTGGGTTTAAGGGTGTCCGCGCTGATCTTAGGACGACCCAAGGGGTTCTTTTTCATCCTGTTTGCGCTCAGAGGTGACTCTTGGTCAGCCCCATTTGTAACTGTCTCTCCCATTTCCACCCTGTCCACTCTCTCTCCCTTTTCTCTTTTGTCAACTTTATCTCCTCTTTCTGTTTTATCCAGCCTTTCTGCGCTGATATCAGCTTGACTCATGAATCGAGAATCATTTTTGTGAGTTTCTATCTTATGTGCTCCTCTGGCTTCTAAAGGCCCAGGCTGCTGCTTCTCTGTTGCATCAGAGTCCAGAGTCCGCTGCTGAGATTGCTCCTCTACAGAAAACGAATCGTCAAAAGAAGGCCTTCTCCGCCTCTTTCTTCCTTTCGCTTCCTCTGCCAGCATGGGCATCCCTCTGTCTTCTTCGTCTCCTTTCCTCCCAGCAATTGCTCGCTCTCGTTCCTCTTTTCTCCTTTCCTCTCTTTCTTCATGGAACCGCTCAGCTGTCTCCTCTTGCCTGTACTTCTGCCTCTCCTCTGAATTATTTGGGCTCTCTGATCCTTTCTCTGGCTGTCCCCAATGTGAATCAGCACTGTGGGGATTACAGAGCATCCTCTGGGAGTCCTTCCTGCCGTACTTCCTCTTAATGTTCCCAAAGAGCTGCTCACTGACCTCTTGCAGACCCTTCCCCCTGGAGAGATTTACACAGAGAAATAATTAGGATGAGTGCGATAAAATGAAGAGAATGGATAGTTTTGTATTTCACCAACACTGCGCAGAATACTTACTGCCTAATTTGAATCACCGTGTCAAGTTAATTAAAACGTCTTCCTTTTAAATTTCACTACTCTAACTTTCACATTCCATTCACAGTGCACAGTTCATGATATCATGCATCACAAGGAAATTAAAATATACCTGCTGAGAGAGGTCAAGTTGAGAATACTGGCATCTGTGACCACTGGCAGCTGCAGATCTGGAGTCAGAGACCGCTGAGGTGAGGGACTTTGCGTCGCCATTCGTGAGAAAGCTTGGCTCGGATCTAGCAACGAGCCTCTGCTGTCTGCTGCCAAGTCTCTGGCTGCCTCAGAATCCGCAGGATGGGCTGGAGACGCAGAAGGTGCTGCAGACGGGATCCAGTCTGTACCGATTTGGTGCTGGGGTGCGTGAGTGTGTTGAAATTTCTGAGTGGGGGAGTGCTGCGTTTGCTGTGTGTGCGAGAGTGCGTGTGCAGGATGGAGGGAGCTGCGAAGCTGGTGTTTGAGAGAAGGATTATCTCCCAGTAGTTGCAGCAGGCCTCCCTCTCTCTGCTCTGGCATTCTGAACTGGCGCTCATATGTCTGGGGATGACACAAAAAGAGACACAAAGACTGGTGACTACATTTAAACTGCAATCATGAGACAGCCTTATATAGCTGCAGGGATAGACAAATGATATGATAATGATAATGTGATCGTAAAACTATGACTGCTATATTTCATGTCTTCTTAACATTGGCCTATCTCCACAGATATAACATGTGCATAGCACAGCAACCAGTTCAGCATATATTATCGTTTTTTTGTCAGCACTTATCACATCTCTGATTTTCTCTAATATGACAGCTTTTGCAGTAGATCTGAAGATTTTCATGCATCTCGCGTGCATGAGAAAACAGTGTGCAACAGAACAAAAGGCTTGTTTACAGAGTAATTAAATTCCTGTGGCAAGGATGTTACATGCTGTGAGAGCTAAGGGAATCAAGTTGGGGGTGTCTGAGTACTAAACACAGTAGCATAGCGAAGCTGCGTCCCTGCACTAGATCCATCATTATTTACTGCAGATCATATTTATGTTTGTGACAGCTCTCATACGCTTTTCTCAACTATAACTGCAGTGTCATGCTGTCAAGAAGGCGCCGTGCACAACATATGTCCCGGAAGTAAGATATAATTTATATACATTTTCTTTCACTGAAACGCCACAAATCTGAAGTAAGCCTCTGCTCGGTTAGACTTGTCCACTTAAAGGAGAAAATACTAAACCTTAATATACTGTATTGCCCCCACATAACTCTGCTTAATGTATCACTGCTGCATAATCAGTGTACTGCTGGAAGATGAGAAATAGAGCAGCGGATGGCCTTTGTGGTTTAGCCTGTTATTAACAGACTCAGTATGACGCAACGAGACACTGTTCTGCTGCGCTGCAGGGAGATGTAACCTAACCACAGGCCTGCCTCTCAGCATGTACACAGGGGCGTGCAAGTGCACACGCACACACTCACGCTTGTATACAGTAGATGCACACATTTCAAAGACTCAAAATCCCGGCTACACACGTTTGAAAACGCTAATCTGGTCTAGATGGAGCAGCTCCTTGTCAGTTGATAAGATATCTCCTCTTCACAGATAAATATACACAGCCACGCAGACGCACAACAATAAAATCTATCGTGCACTTTTATGACAGCGTACATATTTGCGAGGTCAAGAGTGCCATATATTTCCCTTCCCTGCTAACATCCAGTTCAGCCTTCATCTCCTCTGTTGCTTCCCTATCACTCTCTCTGCTCTCCCGACTGCTGTTGGTAGTCAAGTAGTGACACTCATTATGTTTCCACACTTGTTGCAGAAGCTGTTTATTGGCCAGAAGCAGTCTGCACGAATTCACAAGCACAAAAACACACACACACACACACACACAAAAATGCTGAGAAGCACAACACTCACAACACATGGGTGAAAACACATACTGGGCACGTGCGCAAATGCTTAGCGCTGTAAATGATTAACGAAGCCAGCAAATGCAGGTATGTAAATGCACCCTCAAATTTATCTCCTGAACGCACTGCCATGGTATCCTTTCAGTTGTGAAGTATATGTGTGTGTGTGTGTGTGTGTGTATACACATTGACACTGGAGAAGAGGCGCTGTGAGTCCACAGAGGGGTAAGATGACAGACACCTGATACACACTTGCTTTCTCATTTAACCTGTCCTAGAATACCTGCTGTTTCAGGTTAAAGGAGGGCACAGGTAAAAAAAACAGACAGCAGGGCGATGGGGGCGGTTAAGAGTGCGACCGGCAGACATACACTACGCACACAGAGAAAATGTATCTTCCCCACTGACCACATACACATTTGTGGTCAGTGGGGACCAAATGTGTA